ATTGCTAAAATGTATAAACTTTTATTGAAATTTGAAACAGAATTATATACAAATGAACATGTTATTGCTAAAATGTATAAACTTTTATTGAAATTTGAAACAGAATTATATACAAATGAACATGTTATTGCTAAAATGTATAAACTTTTATTGAAATTTGAAACAGAAGAACAAGTGAAAGAATGTATGAAAAAATGGGCCAAAAAACTGGTTATAACATACAAAGAAAACAATGGAAGAATATGTGGATGAAAGGACTAAAATTTACATAATCTTAAGAATTTTTATAAAATGATGTATCATTGGTATTTGTCGCTGGAAAAATTGTCTAAAGTGCATAAAGGTACTTTGAATCTAAGCTGGAAAATGTAAATGAGGGGACTTTTTATCATGCTTGGTGGACATTTAAAAAAAGCTAAAAAAATTTGGATACAAATACATAAAGATTTTAAAGATTAATATACAACTGAAGTCAGATGTGTTTCTTTTGGGATTGATAGAGTTAAAAAAAATCCATGAGTTTTTTTTTCCTAATATATACATGTTAACAGCAGCGAAACTTTTATATGCACAACAGATATGACATTACCCACAATGAAAGAGTGGATCGTGAAGATGATGGACTTTGCTGAGATGGCGAAATTGACAGCTTTGATTAGAGAAAAGACGCTGATTACGTTCAATGCCATTTGGAAACCCTTTCTGGACTTTTTGTGTGAAACAGGAAAAAAAATGAAATTATGTTATACAGGTTTGATGATTCGAAAAAATATTTGATAGAAAAAATGAAAATTATGTTGTAAGCCTAGAGTAAGAGTTCAATTTAAATTTATACCTATAACTGTTATAAAAGTAAATCGGAAGTAATTTCTTTATATATTTTTCTGCTCTCTTGGCTTTCTTTTCTTTCCTTTATCTTAAATATTAGTTAAATTTTTAAACAAGAAAGATTAAAAACTAATAAAGTTACTACAAAAAAAAAAAAGGTCTGAATTATTCCACCACCACCACAACTAAAAGCAGGTGGAAACTACTCCTCCTGCCCCCCCAAAAGAAAATGTTCAGGTTTGTTGCACTGTGAAGCAGAACAAAAAGGTGCAAGAATCTGAGCCTTGATTTCACTATAAACACAGATTGCATGTAATACATAGCAATTGCTGAAATTCTTTGGGAACAACTTCATTAGCTTTTCCTCACAACAAAACCTACTTACCTGCTCCTGCTTCTAGTTCCCGCATTGCCTGACAGAAGCCTGAGAGATTGTCACTGGGAACAAGTAGCTTGTCAAAAGTTTTCCGCCATCTCAAAAATGGGCAGGGAGCTCTTTTCACACAGCAGCAGCAGCAGGCCAAAATCTGCTACCACAAACAATTCAGGGCCCCCTGAAGAGCAACTGTGTTGCCAAACTCTTCACTGAGTGCTAACAGTAGGGAAATAAGCTATTGCTTCATTCAGAAAGTTTAAAAAAGACTTCTGCTTTCATATAGGCAAACCAGTATCACTTCCTTTTCCTGCTAGTCCATCGGAAAAAGAGTAAAAATGCATTGTATCTGCAGACTAAGTGCAGCATAATATTAAGTAAGCAAAGGCCTATCATTTAGAGGCGGTAGAATTACAGACTGTAGCATTTCAAATGGCAGGAAATGGTTTCAGATGTGAGAATGCGCCTCATATACCGCGTTTCCTCCCGAGATAATTCCTAGCAAGCATGATGTCAACCTAGACTTTTCTCAAAAGCTAATTATGGACAATTGGGTGATGTTTGGGGATGAAAATAATCCGAGCTATTTGCCATGTAGAGAAAGCTAGTCCAGAAATGAATATATGAAAGAAAGAAACAGGCCATAAAAGTAGAACAGCTAGAACAGGGCAATAACTGACATATACTAATAGTTTGCAAACCCAGTATCGTAGCATTTCTTGATAATAAGTACAAAAAAATAGCTGAGGCAAGAAAAGCCTGCCCAGGAGGCATCAGGTTCGAACTCTCCATATACCCATTTCACCAAGAACACGTGTCAAGGCATAGTCGTTAAAATGATAATGAAGTCTTAGTACTTTTGAACAGTCAACAACGGTTGCATCATCATATAATACCGAAGAATGCTGCCTCACATTCCCTACAAAGTAACCAAGACATCACATCGTTCAGGACGCTGGAGTAGCAGATTCCTGCAATGGACAGGGGGTTGGACTAGATGATCCCCAAGACCCCTTCCAACTGTTATATACTGGGCTTCCACGCAGCAGAATTTGCTCGTTGATTTTAAAAAGTGCACGTCGTCCTTTCTCCTCACTGGACGCAAAACACAAGGCTGTTGGAAAGCTGTCTTCGAATAACGAAACTGTGAACACTGCAAGTCCCAAACTATAACCCAACGCACCATAAATAACTCCGTTCATATAATTCTGCATTCAAGCCAAGGCGCTCTCAAGTCGTACAGGATTCGGGTTTTTTGCTTTCCCAAGACTGCAGATTACCCGTGCCTGAGGCGGCTCCCCCCAAGCCTAGCGCCTTCCAGATACACGCTGGCAATTAGGAGTAACAGGCTGCGGAAGGCGAGTCCTATCAATCCAAATCCAGTCTTTCCCGCCCCCGCCCGACCCAGCAGCAGCCATGCCAAACCTTCTCTCACCTTGCTTTTCAGAAAAGGGGCGTGGTCCGCCTTCGCCAATAGTAGCAGTCCATTAAGCGGGAGGGAATTTCTGACAAACTACCAGGGCTCAATTCTTAGGTTTTCCATCACAAATAAAGCAATTGTCCACTCGGGAGGGCTTAAGCCACAGGTTCCTCTCCTCCAAAGTCTACAGGTCAAACTCCTCTTCGCGCCTTTGGCTTCCAGCGGCTAGCCCCGCCACCCTCCGCCGCCAATATACGGTTCATTTTCATCCGACCCCGCCCATCCTGTTTATAAGCCCCGCTCCTTCCCCCTGCCCGAACGTTTGAAATTCCTCGCGCGCCTAAACGAGATACTCTGCGGTTATACGGCAGATAGAGTGAGAAGCAAGAACTGGATTGGTCTCCGAAACTCGGAGACCACGCACAGCATCTCTAACTGGCCAAGATTTTTTAACAGAACAATCGTTTTCTCATCTGATAGGTTAGAGAATTCATTACAGATTCTCAAACTCCGCCCCCCCCGCTTTCTGTTTGGCTGAACTCCTATAGAGTTCCACCAGTAGGTCTCAGCTTTCAGCCGGGTCTCTTTTTTCTAACGGTCGACGGGCGAAGGCCGGAACATCGAATGATTGACATTTTTCTTATCCAATTAAACACTACCTTTAGCAGATCAACTTCTGCAACAGGTTTAGAGAAAGCACGTTTGTAGTTCTGTCCTGCAAAATTTGTGCGAGGTGAGGGAATGATGATTACTCTCTTCCTAGTGAGAGAGAGAAGCGGCCTCATTAAAGTGAATGGGGTATATAGCGTGTCACGAGGGAGACTTTTTAATGTTCTCCGTACATCATCACAATTTCTGCCCCTTGAGACGAATTATGTTTACTTTCTGTAAACTTGTCTGGGATCAAGGTGCAAATTGGAGCTTTAATTCAAATTTCCAGCTTTTGATCTTGTGTCTCTTTCCATGTAATTAACGAATGTTCTTTTTAATACAAATCCCTCTGCTAAGTAGAGAACCATACAATGCACAAAGAAAGCATTTACAATGCATTCCTAATTTTTGAAAGGGTGCTTTCTGTGAAGCAAGATTGCCAAGTTCTCTTTCCCTTGCTCTCCAAATTAAACATGCCTTTACCTAATTAGTTTTCCCAAATTAGACAGTTAAGGAGAAAGGGAGTAATATTAATTCCCCATTTGCAAATATAAAGAATTTAGAAAGAATACACAACAGCATACATTTTGAGTGTGTTCTCACAACAGAGCAATTGTTAACTCTACTAGCCTAACTGCCTGGCTTTGCACAATATAAGCTACTGGATGGATTTGTACAACTCAGAACCACAAACTACCCAACATTTTAGCCTAGCAGATGATTTGCATCCAACCAGTAGTATTAAATATGTAGTATTATGCATCACATACTATGTCGCCAGTACTTGAGCGTCTTTAAGAGCATCATCATAACCTTTGTTTAATAGTGACAACAACATCAATACCACACATATAATATACAAAACTGACAGGAAAAAAAAAGCCTAGAAAGCCAAGTTTATCATATATGCATTTCTAATCCATAATACAGTAAGTAGACATGGTTCCACTTGTATAATTTGTAGTTAAAAAAAGTTGATGCATTTTTATCATGCAAAATTGGTTGATTTCTGCCTTTTGTAGTATACGATAAACAGATTGTATCACAAATTTACAATCACAATTTAGCTTAGTATTCTCAAACTACATGGTTAACTTACGGTTCAGACTGTGATGCAAACCCAGACAATTGAGTCATGTAAACACCATGAGCAAGTCTGCTTTATATATCTCCCACTACTTTTATTCAACACAACGCATTCAACTGAAGATGCTCTAGCTGCTAGTCAGCTGTTAGCAGTGATCAGAAGCTTAGAACACGCCTTCTAACTTGTTAGAAAGGAGTTTGCATCATTTGTTTGCTGCTCCCTTTTGAGGAAATCAAGTGGAAACAAAGTACACACTTGTTCATGGTGAATCAAAGTTTTTAGAAAGTAGGCTGAAATGTGATTAGGGAGAAGGGAAAAAATCAAAACACTGTAGTTGTTTTATGTGTAAAATCTTACTCAGCTGTTAGGCTATTGCACACTGTATTTCACACACTTTCTCCTTAAGTATTTCCAATATAAATACACAAGTCATCCACAATAAATTGATAATTTGTTTATTGATTTACTAGATGGCAGTAAAAGCACATGTAAGACAGAAACATTATCTTGGTCAAATTTAAGTCTGCTTATTTGTTAGGTTTACATCCTGCCTTTCCTTCAGGAGCTCATGGCAGCAGCATACAAAGAGCTCCCTGTTTCCATTTTCCCCACAACTTGTGAGGTAGGTAGGTTGGGTGAGAATGTGTGAATGGCCCCAAATCACTAAGTAAGCTGCTATGGAGGAGGGTGGACTTAAACCTACATCTCCCTGGTGCCACTCCAACACTTAATAACTACACCAAACCGCTTAAGACAACACCATTAATATTGTATATATATGAAGAATTTAAATGACCATGTTCCCCTAAGAGTTGCTTGAATTTTTGTTAAATAAAAACTAATTATGTGTTAACTCCTTCAGGCAGGAAATAGCCCATGGAAAGTCTACCCAACTCAGTTTTGGAATGTCAGGCTGAAGAGGGGAAAGCCAAGTAGGACAGGAATCAAGCACAAGAAACGGTAAGCTCGGGTGAGATGAGCATTATTTGGTCCATGTGGAGTAGTCAGACCCAATTAATGTGGAATTACAACTAAAAATAAGAAGGAATGGCTTACTGATCGGAGGGGAACTGTGTTATAAAACAATTTTAAGCTTATTTGCACTCAGAATCAGGTCCAAGACCATGAAATTAATATTAACTCCAATTGTCAAAAATTTAAATAAAAAAGTTAGACAATGTGCATTTGGGAATCATACGGAGGAACTTTTGGTTGATTTTATCTAGAGAACCAAGCAGCTGTCACCCTACTCTTCAGAATTCATTTTCATAATTTCATAACCTTTCTCTCCTTCATTCCTGTCAAATCAGTTGGCAAAGGTGCTCTTCACAGCTGTTATTATGTGTTTTGCACTGATCCCAAAGAGATCTAAGAGCTCAGCAGGTTTTCCACTCCGAGGCACACCTGACACAGCTAAACTCTGGACCAAAATACCAGGTTCTCCAGAGACAGCTGCAGCCACAGCTTCACCAATACCACCTAGAGAGAAAAGGAAGAAGGGATGGACATAAATGGAGATTTCCTGTCAGAGCACGTTTGGTCCAATCCACTCCCATTAACAGCTTCAAATGAAAGTTTGAGTTACAAAGATGTACAGCTCCCTCCATGAACTGAACTCATCAAGAAATAGGTTTGCATATCTTAGCAGCATTCAAACCTCTACCTTTTTGTTTTGTATAAATCAGTCAGAAAGAGAAACTTAAGGACTCCAAGGAACATTAAAACTTAAAGAATTTATAAAGACAGATGCTTATTTTCATGTTTGGCCCAGAGAGTGCAAAGAAAAGCATCTATTTTTCTTTCAAATGTATAGTATAAGCTCTTTAGCCATGCAGTGCCTCTCATTCTGACTATGAAAAGAAGAACACAAGTAGCTTGCTTTACAGGCCAGTTGAGACTGTTGCCTCTTTTCACAGGAGAAAGCTACAAGCTTAAGCAGCATGGATGCCAATTAATTGAATTCAACCTGACTTAATAAGGTGCAGAGAATTCATATGTAAAAGAGACTTGTAGTCTCACATTAAGTCACAAGAAGGCAAAATTACAGCCTTTATAGTGTCCAGAAGCCTCCAGTACGGTCCATTAAAAGTATTATTTATCCCATTTACACTACTTTCTCACTTTTGACAGCTCACTAATCAACCATTTGGTAGGCACACTTCACTCATATCCCAAACAGCTGATCAGCAGCTGCTGGAGCACTGTCCCATTGTAGCCCTCTAATGTTTAGCTATGATAGGAATATACTGCTAAAGGTGAAAAGAGTGTTACCACATTTCTAACAGTCTGTTGAGCAGCTGTTTAGTGGGATGCAGAGAAACACCACTGCACTGGGGACTTCAACATGAGGAGAGGGATAATAGGCTATGCACAAATGGCTCCTGACCTACCTACTGACATCATAGGTAGCCCACAAGAACAAAAAGGATGCCATACCTGTTTTAACAGAAAGTGAATGGCCGCCTAGCAGCCATTCATAGGCCATATTAACCTGCAGCTCAGGGCTTGTACTCCCAATGTATAATTTTTCTCTACATGGCACAGCAATAGGTATATCTAATAGGTACTGAGCAGCACCTGAAAAAGTCTGGTAGTTTTCAGTATCAATGTATAACCAATCATGGCAACTGTAGAAACAAAACTAGTTTGTAAAAAAAAAGAGTTACTAAAATAGAGGATCTGGGCAATTGCATCCTTAGCCATAGTCAACTTCCCCCAAGAATGTCTGAAAAAATATATTTAGTTAACTACTTAACTTCTTTGTAATGATCCTCAACTGTAATGATATGTCCCCCAGTGGCTCTGGCATTGGAAATGATGGTATCAGCATCCAAAGGTTTGATTGTAAATGGATCAATTACCCGTATATGGATCCCTAGGAAAAAGCAAAATACTAATGAGAAGGATGAAACAAATAATTGTTTATAATACAGCAGATCAAGTCAACATATAATTGGAGCTCCAAAGCTCCAATATTCTATTACCTTGTTTGGATAGTTCATCAGCAGCTGAAAGGGCCTCATGAAGTGTGACACCTGCTCCAATAACGGTAACCCTGTCAGCATCGCTCATACGAACAACCTATAAAAAGTAATCAAGAGACATAGCATTTTCAGAAGATACCTAACCCACTAACATACTAAAATACAACCCTGCAGAATAAGGGAAGGGAGAGTATTTTTGATCTGACAATTAATGTATTTCAAGCAAGTATGAAGAAAATGCCA